TAAAGCATAAATATTATATTAACACTATGATAAACCATGTTGCTTTAGTGATAATAATAAATCACTATAATAAATCACTATAATAATAATAAATAATATTTGTATTAAGGAATTTATTTGAAATAAGGAAAAGAGATCCACCAGGTGTGTTTACATCTAGAACAAATCCTAAATTAATCCTTGAATTAATTCCCTTGTTTGGGAATTAGTACTACAAAAAGAATACAAGTGCTGTCAAGTGGGAAAAATAAAAATTAGCTGAAAATGACAGAAGATAGGAGACTGGGGATAAAAATGGGAATATGCTCGTTTTCTTCTTTCCTAGCTAGGGATCCATCAAATGATATATGGAGATTAAACTGATGATGCCAGTCTCTAAGTATTCCATATATTTTTTACCTTGATATGATCGTTCAAATCGCCCTTTCCCTTTGCTGTAGCTGCTGTGATGATCAGGTTGTAAGCACAGTTGTTGCTATGCTCACACACACTTGATTGTGCGATCACAGTGTTATGGCACCACAACAGGTGTCACATGGCATGATGCCAGGGACAGCGGTAACAGCTCAGGGCCTGCAAGGTCATAGAGCGATCCCGGCCCTGAAATGGTCATTGAAGACACAAGTAGTATTACTATCCCGCAGAACCTTCATTTAAAGTTTGCGAGGTCTTTCTCTTTCATCTCCACTCTTCAATTATAGTGAAAATTTATACTTTTTATTGGAAAAAGTAGTGCTAGGGGGTTTGCTCCATTTTATAAAGGTCCGTCTGCATCTCTACAAAATCTACATTGGTTGTGAATAATGATTAGTTCTTGAATGTGAAGTTTTTATGCCAACTGGATCCCATGGGACATCAAAAGAATGCCTGGCTGCCTACCTATGAGATGGTTAGACTTCTTTGTCAAGACCCTGAACGAACGGTTTGAGGCTTTTTGTGTTCCTGGAGTGAGCAGACTCCATTGGGCTACACTAGCACATGACAGGGACAAATAGAGACGTTACTGGCACCCACTCGAGCAAATCGATGAGCAATGGGATGACAAGTGATACAAATGAAATTTTTTAGTGAAGAGAAATAGTTTTCATTGAAAGAAAGAGAAAGAAATTTGAGGGAAGAGAAAGAGAAAAATACATTTTCAAGAGAGAACACGTAGAGTGAATTATTTTTTGGCTTAAATCTTAATAACTCAACATTTTTTAAAAAAGAATTCTACATCATGAGGCTTTGCTTATGAAAACAGCTCTGTGAATTTTCTTAAAATTCCAGAAAGCTATGCCAAAAATAACTAATTGTGATGTGATTATTTTCTCCCATAAATTTTTTAATTTAGGAAATTTAAGAATGAATCCCTTGAGGAATGTCTCTGTAAGAATAAGGGAATGTGAGACTATATCTCTGAATGCAGTACCACCTGCTGGCATCTTTGGGGGAGATTTAGGAGGGTGATGGTCTTTGAGATCCTTTTCAGAACCTGATGAATGATTGTAGTCATCATTGGCCCTCAGGTGGACATAGCTTTTGGAAAATGGCTTAAGGATCAATTTTATTTCCACTAGAAGGTATAAGGCAGGCATAGTCCTATAAATGGAAGGATATGGAGAGTACCATGCTGAGTGAAAGGAGTTAGGAGGAAAGGGATAGATATAGAGTGAGTGCATTCATTTGTGGTATATTTAAAATATTTATATATATGCTGGAGCGATAACACAGCGGGTAGGGCGTTCATCTTACAAGCGGCCAACATGGCCGACCCGAGTTCGATTCCTCCGCCCCTCTCGGAGAGCCCGGCAAGCTACCGAGAGTATTCGATATGCCAGACACAGTAACAACAAAGTCTCCAATGGAGACGTTACTGGGCCTGCTCGAGCAAATCGACGATCAACGGGAGAGCCTTTACCTTTTATATATATATGTACATGGGCTGGAGTGATAGCACAGCGGTAGGGCGTTTGCCTTGCACGCAGCCAACATGGCCGACCCAAGTTCGATTCCTCTGCCCCTCTCGGAGAGCCCAGCAAGCTACCGAGAGTATCTCGCCCGCAAGGCAGAGCCTGGCAAGCTACTCGTGATGTATTCGATATGCCAAACACAGTAACAACAAAGTCTCCAATGGAGACGTTACTGGGCCCGCTCAAGCAAATTGATGAACAACGGGAGGACAGTGACAGGACAGTGATATATATATATATATATATATCTCATGATCACAATCATCCTGTTGTTCGTCAATTGCCTCGAGCAGGCACCAGTAACGTCTCCTTCTTCCTAGCCCTGAGATTTTAAAAGAGCCATATTCAATGCTCTTTCAGGGTTAGGAGAATGAGACCCATCATTGTTACTGGTATTTGGCATATTGAGTATGACACGGGAAGTTTGCCAGACTCTGCCACCGTGTGGGCAGGATACTTTCGGTAGCCTGCTGGGTTCTCCAAAGTAAAAACGACATAAAAGATGTCTCGGCCACACACTTCCGGGAGCTGGGTTTTATAGTCCCTGGGTCTTGGCCGTTGATGGGACCACCTGGTACCAGTGGCAGCTGGTGGGTGTAACACCTACCTACTGGAAGATGGGGGATCTGGGAAGAGAAAGCCCTGTCCCCATCCGAGCAGGCTTGGAGATCTCAGCCCCGGGACCCGTGTGCCTGAATTCCTCTGCCGGTTCCTTCATGCCTGAGGCTTGTCCCAACGTGTGGAGAGTGGTCTCAGCATGGCTGGCTGGTTCTGGAGGTCTTCAGCTGCTGGGGCTCTGCTCGGGGTGGGGTGGGAAACTCAACCCGCCCCCCTCCAAGGGACCCCGGTGAGGACAGCCAGACGCAGGGGCAGGAGACTCTCTGTCTCTCTCTCTCTCTCTCTCTCTCTCTCTCTCTCTCTATATATATATATATATATATATATATATTAAAAGAATAATATCCATGGCTGGGGAAAACAGGGGTTAGGAGGACTGGCCAATGGTTGGAACTAACTACAAGTGTTGGAGGTGGGGACAGAGGGTAGGTGAAACAGAGAAGAGACCAGTATAATAATAATAGCCGGGAATGATCACACTGGACAAGATCTGAGGGTTAAAAGTAGGTAAGGGATATTCTTGAGAACCTTTCAGTATCAATATTGCAAGCCACAGTGCCCAAAAGGAAGGAGAGAGAGGAGGGGAGAGAGAGAGAGAGACAGAGAGAGAGAGAGAGAGAGAGAGAGAGAAAGGTGCCTGCCATACAGGCAGGCAGGGGGTGGGGTGGGGGTGATGGGAGGGAACCCGGGAACACTGGTGCTGGGAAATGTACACTGGTGGAGGGATGGGTGTTGGAACACCGTATGACTGAAATCCGATCATGAACAGCTTTGTAAGGAAGGGTCTATCTCACAGTGATGCAATAAAAAAGTTAAAGAAAAAAAAGAAAGAAAAAGAAAAGGCACAGTCAAAGGATAACAGGAAACATTTTTTACTTTTTTTAAACAGTTGCCATGGATGTGTTACTTTTTTTGTTGTTTTCTGTTTTGGAGAAGGAGACTCCGTTCAGCCACACTCAAGGTGGTCAAGGCTATTCCTGGCTGGGCCCTCAGGGCTCTCTCCTTGTGGGGCCCAGAGGACCACCTGTAGTGTGGGAACTGGGGGGATATGAAACAAGCACATGACCCTTTATGCTACTTCTCCCCAAAATTGCTCTTTAGAGCTCAACCATATTTTAATAGCTTTATGCTCCAACATTTTTTATAGCTCTAATTGAGATTTTCTGTTGCCTGGGCACAAAGCAAACCATCCTGCACCCCTAGGGGTTGTTCAGTGGCTGGACCAAGACTCAAACATGAAGCGGGTTGGTGAGGAGAGAAAGAAAACAGAAGGCTATTAATAATGTGTTTACTTCCTGTACACGTGGGAGGTGTACACCCAGAAAAACTGAGTAACTGACAGGCGTGGCTGTCGGAGCTTAAAAATCCTTAGTGAAGGAAGACAAAGGCTGGGAGGTGGAGGGGACAGTCAGCCAAGGGCGTTGCTGGAGAAAAAAGGCAGGGAAAACAAAGGGATGCTGAGCTAAATCCTGCCTCCCCCATAAAGAGAGAGGTCTGGGATTAGGTCCTGGCTGCAGAGGGAGGGAGATGCTTTGTTCCACCGAGAATGGTACTCTGGGGGCTCAAAATGCTGAAGCCCAGGCCGGCCATGCACAGGTCTTGGTCCTATCCCTGCACTGTGGGAACTCCTAGTACTGCTGAATTACACACCTGCTAGCTGCCAGTAGCCTTAGAGAGAACCCTCTGGCCCTGTAAACAGAGCATGGCTCTTCCTTTGTACTTCTGCAGACCTTTTCCTGGGTCTTGCAATATTGATACTGGAAGGTTCTCAAGAATATCCCTTACCTACTTTTAACCCTCAGATCTTGTCCAGTGTGATCATTCCCAGTAGCGTTCCACCCAGCCTTCAAGGGTCCATCCCATAAAGTCAAACATTTGCCAAAGACATATTTGAGGCAGACAGAATTTTGCTTTCTCGCAGTTCATCTATCGTTAACAGTCTCCAAGTATCTCGGTGGTGAAATCATACCACTGTCTAATTTCTAAGTATTTTTATTCCTTCCCCCCACCTCCACTCCTGCCCCACACCTGTCTTCCCCCAGCTCCAGGTAGACACTAGTCAACTTTCAATCTCTGTGGATTTGCTTGCTCTGAGCATTTAATACACCCAGAGTCCTACAAATGTGGTCCTTTGTGAGTGGCTTCATTCACTCAGCACAATGTTTTATTTAGTTGGCCAATCTTGTGTCAGTGCTTCTTTTTTCATGTCAACTAACAGTCCATTGTAAGGATAGATCGTGGTTTTGTTTATCCATTCATCAGTGAATGGACGTCCTAGTTGTTTCTGCACATGGACAATGATGAATGAATGCGTGTGTGTTTTCATTTATTTCTCCCGAGTGTATCTGAGTACCCCTGTTGGAAATGCCGGGTCAGATGGTAGCTTTGTTGAGATCAGGTTTCAACCGCCATCTTTCTCTTTGTTCCCAGGCAGAGATGGTGCACAGTGCCTTCCAGGCCCAGCGTGCGTTCCTCCTGATGGCGTCACAGTACCAGCAACCCCAAGAGGTAAGGATGTGTCCTGAGAGACAGCTGTCGGCAGAACCTGCTGGGTGAACTGACAAAACCCAGAAGCAACCAGAACCATTTACCTTGAGGGACATCCCCTCAATGAAATGTATAGCTTCTATAGGTTCTGATTCTAGCTCATGAAATGGGACTTCTGTCTTCATCATCTAGTATAACCCAAATTCATACCATTGATACCATTGATATCACCCATTTAGAGGTTCAATTCTGCGTGCCATCATTATCCTCTTTTCTGGCTGTTGAAACCATTTTGTGGTGAAGGAAGTATTTGCTGCTTATTTTTCATTCTTTTTCTTTTCTTCTTTGGTGCTGCTTTTGAGCAAAGACAGCATAGCTTTCATCCCCCTGAAGTTCCTTGTATGAGTTGGATTGGCTCCTGTTTCATAAGTGGCAGATAGGCTAAATTGTCGCTTTTCAAACGCACTGTGTGTATGAAACGCTTCCCTAAGATTCTGATTCATTGCACCTGGAACATGGCCCGAGGTTCTGCTTTTTAACAAACTCCAAGGCAAAACCTGTGCTGCAGAGTCTCATTCTCAGAACACCAAAATTGGAGGTGCAGGGGCAATTGCTCTGAAGGTCAGTGTACGTGCTTTGCATGTGGGAAACCAGAGTTTGATTACTGACACGACCTGGTCCCAGGAACACTGCTATGAGTGACCTCAGAGCCAGGCGTAGTATTATCACTGGGTAAGGCCCCAAGACTATATGAACAGTAGCAGTAATAACAGTAGATTATCTTCATGAATTATCTATAAGGATATAGGCACACTCCTATCTCGGCTAGTAGGCATATGGAGTAACTCTTCTTCTGTTTAAGGTATTTAAAATTGCTCAATTTCGTCTCTAGGTGCAACAATATTATAAGCATAATGACTTTGATGAGGTTTCACCTACCTAACATTATCGGGCAGACTCAAACTTTAATATGCAGTAGATTAGAAATTATTATTGTGATGTCAGAGCGGCATGGTTGTTGCTGGGGGATCCTTCTCCTTTCCCTTGTAAATTTCTCACTTTGTACACCCCGTCTCCAAACTCTCCTACCCTCACCTTTATCACTGACATTTTATCATGCGCAAGACTCTATTCCCCTTATCAAGGGTTCATAAATGTTTAATCATGTTGGTTGTATGATGAGTGGAATTATTCACTTAAAAAGTATATCTATGAGGGGGGACGGAGCAATACTACAGCTGTTTGGGTGCTTGCCTTGCATGCAGCCAACCTGGGTTCAATCCCCGGTAACCCATATGGTCCCCTGAGCACTGCCAGGTGTAATTCCTGAGTGCAGAGCCAGGAATAATCCCTGGGCATTACCAGGTGTGACCCAAAAAGAAAAATGAAAAAATAAAAAGGTTTATCCAGGCTAAGTACATCTTGTTAAAAAGGTGGGGGGGGGGGGAGGCAGGTGTTTTATTGATTGGATATTCTGCATCTGAAATTTAGTAACAAATTCGTTTTTGATTAAAAAAAGATATTTAGGAGCTGGAGCAATAATATAGTGGGTAGGGCATTTGCCTTGCATGCAGCAGACCCGGGTTCAATCCCCAGCATCCCATATGGTCCCTCAAGCACCGCCAGGAGTAATTCCAGAGTGGAGAGCCAGGAGTAACCTCTGTGCATCGCCGGGTGTGACCCCCCCCAAAAAAAGACAATTTTATGTTAATTAAAACAAAAAAAGCAAGGACTGGAGAGAGTAAACTCAAAAACTGAGCACATATTCAGCATGTGGGAGGACTAGGAGATGAGGATTGATATCCAATGCCACAAGATTCCTCAACCATTGTGGGAATGACCCCACGGAGCTGAGAGTCACCACTGAGCTCTGACCCCCCCAAAAAACAGAAACAAACAAGTAAAAGAAAAAAATTTTAAAACCCCAAAAAACAATGACCTGAAAACTCACTTTGCACTATTAAATCAAACTTCTGGATTTGAACGAGTTCTACTGTGAATCCTGGTAAAAGTAGACTATGACTCCCAGGAGCTGGACTGCACAGGAACAGAAACTGAGGCCCTAGACTATCCCCGGAACAGTGATTCCCAGCCCTGCAGAGTGCAGCTACCCAGAAAGTTTATTTAAACGCCAGTGCCTGCCAAGAGGTGCTGCTCTCCTTGTTCTGATGCCTGCCCTCATCCCTGAGGTTTACAGGCCCATTGGGTGACTGGAACTTGCAGCCAGGCTGACATCCTGCTCCCTGGCCCCGTGGATGTCTCACTTCCCTCCCGTGGAATGCAGAGTTAGCACCCAGCGATCGGCAGCTCTGTAGGAATGGGAAGACTCTGTGTTCTGCTCTGGGTACATGTTCTCCTTCGCCCTCTCAATCCCTGCGTGTTTGTCCCCCTTTGCAAATGAGAACAGTCTAAGAAATGACCCCGTAGTGCATTGTGAACCCAGCCTCGGTTCACCTTTTGTGCTTGGAGTGGGAGGCGTGCTGCCTTCAATGAATCATTGAGGAACGCGGGAGGGATAAGATTACTCTCCTACCGGCCCCCACGCGGCCCTCCTGGAAGCACCGAGCCTGTTCCTCTCCCTTGGCCTTGCCCATAAATCTCTGACCGGGGGCTGAGAGCTAGAAGGGGGGGGGGGGCCTAGGTGCATGCCTTCCATGCACACACCCCCAGTTTTGATCTCTGGCACCACACAGTCTCCTGAGCAATACCAGGTACAGTCTTGGAAGTTCTGGAGGCCACCAAGCACCACCAGAGCCCCTGAGCACTGCCGTGCTGACCCACGTCATCTCCACACTATAGGGCGTGAGCAGCACCACCTTCTCCTTGAGCTGTTTCATTGACCCTCTGGCCTTATTGGCTTAGAATTGCTATGAGGGGCCAAGAGTTTCCTGAGCACCAGTAGTCACTCACTGGTTGATGAAGACATAGAATGGGAGAACAAATGGACCATCCAGTGTTGCCTGAATATTCTTTCGGTCAGAGGCACAGAGATAAAACATGTGAGAGGAATGTAAAGAGCTAAAGAGCACGGAGGGTCAAGGCTCCTTCCGGCTTGAGGCAAAGAGCAACTGCCAGAGGCCACCTTTTATTCTGTTTTTTTTTTTTATCAGTTGCATCCTAATGACTTCATCACAGAGAAATAGTCACTAATGAGAGTACAAATAGTTATAGGATAAGCATTTGTGAAAAGAACATCAGGGTATATATTGTCTTGTCAAAGCTATGTTGTCAAAGCTAGGTCATAATGATTGAAACGTCAGAGAAAGATATGGAGCTGGACACGTAGGCTCTATATATTACGTCCCCCACATTCTTGTGGTTGGTTACACATAGAGCAAAGAGGAGACTCATATGATACTTGAAGGTCAATCCAGATTAAGGATGTGTAAGAGAGGGGGAGACTGCTGCCCTGTACTGCGAAGATAATGTATGACCAGGTGGGTCTATGAGAGCATGCTGTACTCCTCCAAGTCATTGGACTCACAAGATTTTAGCTTGCCCACTTAGTGTGAAGTGGGGACTTGGTTCTGCTTCCTGATTGCAGGGCAGTGTCCAGAGGCTCATCCTAATGTCCTGGCTTAGCACCAACAATCCATGGACACTCCAGGACCGTGGTGTCCCCAAATAAGGCACGGCCTGGGATAGTGTGTAGCTCAGCATATAGCGGTGCAGATTTTTGAGGGAGCCCTCCTCCGCCATCTCACTCAAATGCATTCTTCATAAAAGGGGAGGCCGGGTTGGGCTCCACAGACCTCTGATCCAGGAAGAGAATGTTTGAGAGATGGATGGTTCTTGCGGTTCTTATGTCCTGAGAGTCATACGTCTCAGGACCACCTGCTAATAAAGCCAGTTTTTGATGCCTGTCTTCCTGGTGGCCCTATTTCCACACAACAGAAAAGCACATTTAACAGGTCCTGACCATGATGGTGAAAATAGTCCACAGCCAGACCTGGATTCTCTCAGGGTGCATTTTAGAAGGTAGGACGCAATGAAGGGGATTGTCCTTTACATAACCCGTGTCTCCCAGGCACAGCTGGCCTCGTGGTCTGTGTTTGCCTTTCTTCTTCCCTGTTTTCTCCACCCAGTTTGCTCTAACACAGGCATTCCTGGTGTGTCTGAGATCACCTGCAGGGCTGTTAACAGATAGAATGCTGGGATCTGAGGAAAGTTTCCAGTTCCATACATTCTGCTTGAAGCCCAAGAATCTGCATTTCCAGCTGATGGTGATGCTGCAACCTAGGGACCATATTTTGAGAACCAGTTGTGTGCCCGAGTCTCTCAGAATCAACCTCTAGCTCAGGGTTTATTTATTTTTTTATATTGAATCACTGTGAGATACAGTTTCAAAGCTTTCATGTTTGAATTTCAGTCATACAATGATCTAACACCCATCCCTTCACCAGTGCACATTTTCCATCACCAAAATCCCCAGTATCCTCCACTATCCCAACCCTTCCCCTGCCTGTGTGGCAGACAGTTTCCACAATACTCTCTCTATACTTGATTATATTCAATATTTTGACACCAGTCCCACCATTATTATTTGGAATTTTCCTACCACCATTCAAACCTACCTAAAAGGCAGTGCTAGACAATTTATTTTGTATTGCTTGTTATGAATAGCATAAGATGGTGCATGGCCTCGAGAGTGGCCTCACACTCCTGGAATTCCAAAATTTTAGATAATTAGGGTCTGGAGAGATCTCTGCAGCAAGCTGCTTGGCTCTAAGATTCTTTTGTGTGTCTCTGGATCATGGCCATTTAGAAGCTTAAATAGTAGCCGGAGGCAGTTCGTGGGGGTCATCTCAGGTCCCATCAGGGCAGAGGGATGAGAGGGACCGGTTCGTCCCCTATCTCAGGGTTTATTTCAGGTACTTCAAACTCATTGTCAGCTGCTCCTGGACCAGTGATTTTTCAATTACCAGTCTTTGGGCCAGTGGCAGTTCTTGGACATTAAAAAGTTGGAAATCACTGCTGGAAAGTGATGTTGACTTTGGCTTCATCCATTTGTGACCCCTTTG